CTTGCTTATTTCACTAGGGCACTGTCCTCAAGGCTTATGCATGTTGTGCACGTCATAGGCAACCCGTCAGCTTCCTTAAAGTCTCGTGTCTGTCCTCCCTTGTCACCCTCTGCCTTCGCTTGCGCAGGATGCCACCTCGCTCCTGGGCCATTGTCGAAAGAACGAACTTGTTCCCCAGCCTCAAGTCCTGCCCTTGCCCCGTGCATTTCCACACCACTTCCGAAGTGATTTTACCGTTCTCTTTTTAAGTTTCAGATTAGATTTTAAAACGTATTAAAGTGATACATGTGCATGGTCATCGAAAATTCACCCAATATGAAAGCGCATAAAATGAAAAGACGCATCCCTTTCTATTCCACTTTTGTGGCTGTGCAGCATGCTTAACCCCTGCTTGGCTTGCACTCATGTGTCCATGCACTGCAGTTCGTCAGCAAGCCCCGTCTGGTGGGACACCCAAGTTGCTTCTGACATGTTAGCGTTTGGGGCTGGGTGCACCCTTGGCCATGAATCTTGGCCCACGTCCAGGTCAGTTCCAAATGAGCCAGCAGACTCTTCACCAGGCTGCCTGGCTGCAGGCTTATGGGTGTCTTGGACTCCAGCCTCCGCTGCAGCTCCTGATCAGCCAGATGCAGCAAAGCCCAGAGCAGCGGGTCAGTTCCAAACTGGCCCAGGGCCTGGGGTTCGGTGTCAGAGCATGGGAAGCGCCTTCGCTGCCTGGGAGGCCCGGGACCGTTCTCTGGGGCCCTGTATTTTGTGCAGCTGTCAGCTTTGGGGTTTGCCCAGGATTTGTCACTCACACAGCTGAGCTGGCCCTGATGAAGTGACCTTGTCAAATGGGGGTAAAGCGTGTGCTCCCCCATATCCCCACACAGCAGTACAGGCGGAGGGCCAGCTCAGGCCCATGGTCCACTGGGGCTTTGACCCACAGCTTCTCACAAGGTCTTGGATGTCCACTGCCACTCAGGTGACACATACCTTCACCTCTGGCTGCTTCTGTTCTGTCTTGGCTGAGGTTGGACAGTGCCCATGGAAGGTTATTGCTGGGTTTATTCTGGGAGAGGTGCTTGGGGAGGAATGGTAGCCCTGAGCTGCACAGGGAGCACAGCCGGGCATTCATTCACTTCCTCATTCTTTCATCCCTTCTCTTCTTCCTTCACTCATGGTCATCCCACAGCCTCTGGGCATTTACTCAGCTCTCAGACACTACATTCGATATATCAGGGGCCTTGGCCCCTCCCAAGGCATCTCTGGGTGTCGCTGTGTGAAACAGAACCCAGCCCGACAGGCCCCTGGATGGACCTCCGTATTCCCCAAGCAAAGATCGTCCACAACAGGGGCAAGCCTGCGTCTGGCTCCCTGTCCTGCCTCTGGCTCCACTCCCCAGGGCATCGAGAGACAGCTCACAGGAGTGCTCACAGGAGTCCTCCCAGCGCCCCTCCCAGGTGCTTGACAACGTGGCCTGGAGGGGCAGCCTCCCGGCCCCCCAGGACTGCAGCCCCTGGTTGCTTCAGAGTTTTCCCACCCTGGGCTTCCCAGCTGCCATGCCTGCCCTCAGCCTCCTCCCTCCCAGCCCTGCCCTCCCTCAGCCCCTCTCCTCCAGGCGGCTCCTCCTCCTGCCTGGTGGAAAGGCTGTGTGAGCAGGGCCTGCAACAGCTGAGGCTAAGCCCTGCTGTGCTCTTGGCCCTGAGCACTAAGCCTGATGCAATGCCTGGCAGGGCCTGTCCCTTATCAGAGCTCCATTCACAGCAGACGCGGACCCAGCTTCCCCAGGAGGAGCCACGGGTGGGCTGCAGGCACGCTGGGGCCTCGGTGGAAGGCCCAGGGAAGCCAGGGGCCTGGCTGGGAGCCATCTGAGTAGAAGACTATTGCCTAGTGAGGGCCCCTGGCCCGGCCGAGAAAGACCTGAGCAGAAAGGTCCCCTGAGGGGAGCGCAGGTAGGGATGCCTGTGCTTAGAGTTTGGGGCCTCTGCTCCCAGCCCACTTTCCTCCCCGGGCTCCCTCACTCCGATTGGCCTGGGTGCCCCTGGCTGGGTTCTGTCCTCCCCATCATTAGCGCACAGCTGCAGGGGCTTGAACGGAAAGCCCCAAACTGTCACTCCTGCAGCCTCAAAACGGCATCCAGATTGAGAAGGGAATCCACGAGACTGATGTCTGTGAAGCATGAAGTTCTGCCTGCAGTACACACTCAGCACACACCCATAGTGTACGCCTATAGAACACACTCAGCGCGTGCTTCTAGTGCACACTGAGACACAAATTCACAGCACATGCCCATGGTCCACACGCAGGCATATACTCGCAGCACACACCACATGCACGGCTCCTCATATAGGGAGCGCCTGCTTTTCTTCTTCATATTTCCCAGGAATTCAGAATGATTAAGCATCTCACACTGGGCTGAATGCTTTGGGGAAGACATTCTTCCGTTCATCCACAAGGACTGTGGCACACTTGCTGCCTGCCCAGCACACAGACGGGCACTGGGATACGGGCGTGGACTGCCAAGGCAGAGCCGAGATGACGCTGTCGTCTCCCAGGACACCCGGGTGGCCAGAATAGGCAGTAAGCAAGCGCATTGCGTCAAAAGGCAATAAAGCTGGAGGCTGAGGGGGAAAGTGATGGGGCAGGGGAGATGGTCAACGGTAGGTTGGTGGTCAGGGAAGGGTTCGGGGGAGGGGACATTTGAGTGGAGCCCTGGGTGTGAGTGGGCTGAGGGTGGCTGTCCCAGCACCTCTCTGCATCCAGGCAGGGCTGGGCTGGCCCTTGCCCCCGACCTCCTCACCATTGGCCCAGGTGCCCTGGAAGTGTGACCTTGGCTGCCATCCTGGCCAGGGGACGTCGTTTCCTTTGGCAGTCGCACCACTGCCGGGCACCACTGGTTTGGGGAGGTGGGGAGCATGACGGTTTGTCCTGTGTCACCAACGTCACAGGCTCACTCCTAGCAGAGGGCTTCCTGCATGGCAGGTTCTGCCTGGAGCTTGGCCAGGTGACCCTGTCCTCCTTGCTCGTGACTCTGTGACCTTTGACACCTGTGACCCTCTCCTACCTCCTGGATCTGGGGCTCCCAAATCTCCCTCCTCTGCTGCCCATCACCCCCCGACACACACACAGATGCCGTCTGGGCCAACAGCCTGCCTGGTGTTTCAGGTCGGAGTGTTCACCCTTGCTTGTCCTTTTAGGGCAATGCCTGAGAGTTCTCAGGAACCTGACTTATTCGGGTGGCGGGGGGGGATGAGGCTGGGATGGCAACTCAAACAGAAACAGTGCCCGGAAGGGAGGGGAGGAGAGATTCGGAAGCTTTGTCTTCAAGGCCACCCAACTCCTAAATCCTATCGAAGATATCAGACTCAGAAGGGAGAAGACAGAGAAGCAACTCCCGTCCACCCCTCCCTTTGCTTCCCTCTCTAGTATTTATTGAGCGCCTACCACACACCAGATACTGTTCCTCACAGCAGCCTGATGCCGTAGGTACTGCCCTTTTCATGCTAGAGGTGAAGAAACTGAGGCCCAGAGAGGTTAAGTCACTTATACAGGGTTACACAGCATGGCAGGCACCCAGGGAGGACTGGAACCCAGGACTTCTGGTTTTAGTTACTTCTGCTTCCCCATCAGACCCAGGCAACTCTCAGCCAAGAGCTAGGAGGGCAGAAAGTCAGGATTTCAATGCCTGCGCCCTGCAGACTCAATGTTGGGCCTCCCCCTCTCAGTAGGACAGGCAGCCTCGCACGCACCGGCGGCTAAACAGGGTGCATGGGAACGTGGTCCTGCCAGTCATTCTGCAAACATGCCGACAGCCAGCCAGGCACCGAGCCAGGCACCAGCTGTGATGGGTTCACTCACCACAGATTTGTTGGGCAGCTGGTATGCGCCGGGCGCCATTCTAGATGCTAATTCTGACTTCAGGGAGCTTGTAGTCTGGGAAAGAGAGACAGACACGCCCATCAGCTGGAAAGCCCTCCCATATGTGCTGCAGTGAGTGGGGGTGGGGTTGGGAGCATTAAGGGGCTTGAATGACCTGCATCTGGCCCGAGTGATCAGGCCACTACTGGGGGAATCTTGGGCCAGTTGCTTAACCTTTCTCATCCTCTGTTTCCCCATCCGTAATATGACTTTTGTGAGGACTTCATGCGGAAATGCAAATCAAGTGCTTAGCATGGTACCTGACACAGACTAGTAAGCATTCCACGGACGTGAGGTACCCACAGCACTCCAGTTCGCCCTCCCAACCAGAGTGCAAGCCCCATGAGGGCATGGGCCGGGTCTACCTGCTCACTGCTGGATCCCAGTGCCGAGACCTGAGGCTGGCACGCAGTAGGTGCTCAGGAAATATTTGTTTAATGAGTGCATGGGGAAAGGCCCAGAAAAATTGGGAATGTTCTAGGTGCCCTGGGGCTGTCCCTGCAGCCCTCTTCCCACCTGGGCCCCTCTCCACCTCCCCACACTCGGGAAGCACCCCTATTCCCTCATCAGGGAGAGCTGCCTGCCGCCCCACAACCACTCGGCCCTGCACAGCTGGGGACTTCCATTCAGCTGCCAGGGTACACATCTCACAGGCAGAACCCACCTCACTGCTCCCCGCAAGGCCAGATTTCCTGCTGTCCCTGAAGCTGCTTCCTTGTGTGACTACAGGGCAGCCCCGGACTCACTTCCCTGCTCCCCCCGCCCCCATGTCAATACCAGCTGCTTCCCTGGGGAAACCAGTCTTTTTCAGATGGAGGGATGGTCCTGCGTGCCCTGCACAAGGTCACAGTAACATTTTTCCATACTTGGAGCAGACTGTCTCCTGTGGATGAGGGTCCTTATGGAGAAAGGGGCAGACTTTCAGAAGGGGGCGCTGTGCTGTTATCTGGGGCTCATGGTGCAGCACAGGTGGGTGACAGGAAAAATGAAAGAAATGGTGATTCAGGATCCATTGGGCAATGCTGTGTTTGCTCCAGCTTTTAAAAATATACATGCCTTCTACTGAAGGTCATTTATTCCTTTATTCCTCTGTCATTCAGCAGCTGTGCACCAGTGTCTCCTGTGTTCCGGGCCCAGGGCTAAGGGATAATGAAAGACAAACTTCCCGTCCTCCGTGAAGGGATGGTCAGCACTGAACAAGCTATTACAAGGGCGGCTGCTTTATGACAAAGTCTCAGGTACTTTGGACTCTGGGAGTCTTTGTATAGTGGTGGGGCGGGGAGTCCTAAGTGTCCCCAGGGAGGCTGCCCCAGGAAGATGAGACCTGAAGGCCATGCCCATAAGAGGGATTTTGTTAGAATTCACGTGTTATGGTTAATTTTTAAAAATTAACACATTGTAGCCCTGGCCAGGTGGCTCAGCAGGTTGGAGTGTCATCCTGTACACGAAAAGATTGCAGGTTCCATTCCCAGTCAGAGCACATACCCAGGTTACAGGTTCGATCCCCGGTCAGCACGCATATGAGCAGCAACTGATCCATGTTTCTCTCTCTCTCCCCCTTCCTCTGTCTCTAAAAACAACAACAACAAAAAACAACTACAATCAAAACATATCCTTGAGTGAAGGCTTTTAAAAAAATAAACACATGGTAAATTTTCTAACTGTGCACAGTGTTATACCACAAACTTAAGACTCACCCACCCTTCTCTCCTGACCTCCCCAGCTCTTTGTTATGAGGCCTTGTGTATCCCTGTAGTCAGTTTATTTGTATTCAGCATCTATATTTTTCTCTCTCTGAAAAATGTTTTTTTCAAATGGGATTATACTACATCAGAGGAGCTAGCCTGGGAGGTTCTCCCCTGCCCAAGGGGCAGCTGGCAAAGTCTGGAGACATTTTTGATTGTCACATCGGAGCAGAGAGGATGCTGCTGGCATCTAATGAGCAGAGGCCAAGAATGCTGTTAAACATCCTACAATACACCAGACAGCTCCCACAATGGGAAATCATACGGCCCAAAATGTCAGTAGCGCTGAGGATAAGAAACCCTGTTCTATATAAGCACATTGTGTCTGCAGCTTGCTATATACATGAAATGATAGATAGATAGATAGATAGATAGATAGATAGATAGATAGATGGTAGATTATTCACATCAGCATTTGTAAGTCCTCCCCCATCATTTTTATTTAGGTGTCTGCAGTCTTCTGCTATTGCAAACATTTGTACTATACGGATTGTTCTTTTCCATATACTTGCCCTTGAGTCATGTGTGAGGTCAAAGGATAAATTGATGGAGGTGGCGTGGATGCATCAGAGGGTTCATTAGCATTTAAGTGACCTGATTTCAAGTCTCTTTGGGGAAGAGTCCATTAGGACAGTGCTTCCGGGGTTCTGGCTGCTAAGCAGGACCAGGATCCTCAGAAGCCTGGTGGCAAAGCTCTCTTCATTCTCATCTGCAGACGAGGGTGCAAAGCTCTCTTCATTCTCATCTGACAGCCTGTCTCTCCACAGGACGAGGGTGTCCCCCACCTGAAGACAAGGAGCCAGGCCCTGAGTGATGCCCCGGAGCCGAGTGCCCACGGCCCCACCCTTCCCCATGGAGAAAGGACTTGCTTTGCCCCAGGACTGCCGGGACTTTCTGCACAGTCTGAGAATGAGGAGCAAATATGCCCTTTTCCTGGCTTTTGTGGTGGTGGTTTTTGTCTTTATTGAAAAGGAAAATAAAATCATATCGAGGTGAGGGATGCAAGCAGAAGTCTTCTTATCAAGGCGGGTCGGGGAGAGGCTGCTTAGGCACCTGTAGGCAATCCTTCCACCCGTGATCACCAGACCTCCTGTGCCCAGCAGTGGGCCAGGCACAGGTCCTCAGTGGTGAGCTCTGGGTTCTGGACACAGGCAACCTGGGTTGGAACGCTCATTCTGGCCCCTTCTAGCTGTGACACTTGGACACATGATTTCACTTTTCTGTCTTTCAGTTCCTCTTCTCTGAAACATGGCTAATGGTGGGGCCTACCTTATTGTAAAGATTAAATGAAAAAATGTAGTGCCTGGCACATAGTTGGTGTCCAGTACTTGCTGGCTGTGGCTTATTATTAATTAACTTCCTGACCTAGGATGATGCCTCAGATGAACAGCCCATTATGTATACCAGTGATGGCAAACCTATGACATGCGTGTCAGAGGTGACACACGAACTCATTTTTTTGGTTGATTTTTTTTTGTTAAATGGCATTTAAATATATAAAATAAATATCAAAACTATAAATCTTTGTTTTACTATGGTTGCAAATATCAAAAAATTTCTATGTGACACGGCACCAGGGTTAAGTTAGGGTTTTTCAAAATGCTGACACGCCGAGCTCAAAAGGTTCGCCATCACTGGCCTATACCAACCCAAAGTCATGGGTGAGGCAGGGCCCTGATATGGATACCCTGGCGAGCAGGGATGCATGTGTAGCTGCCCAGGTTGTATATTGCTCAACTCCAGGACAGTGCCTCACATAGGCTACACTGGGAATGCTGCCCCCTAGAGTTCTCAGTGTATGGCTGCATGCAGCGTCCCTGCTAGTGGGCCTGCCAGACATAGATTGCTTTAGATCAGTGGTTCTCAACCTTCCTAATGCCACGACCCTTTAATACAGTTCCTCATGTTGTGGTGACCCCCAACCATAAAATTATTTTCGTTGCTACTTCATAACTGTAATGTGGCTACTGTTATGAATCGTAAATATCTGATATGCAGGATGTATTTTCATTGTTACAAATTGAACATAAAGCACAGTGATTAATCACAAAAACAATATGTAATTATATATGTGTTTTCCGATGGTCTTAGGCGACCCCCAAAGGGTCGCGACCCACAGGTTGAGAACCGCTGCTTTAGATGCTTCCCCAGGCACAACCCCTGCAACCCAACCAAGATGGGTAGGGACTGGGCTGTCAGTGCCCTGCCCGTGTTCCTCCACATGGACCATTCCAGTTCGTGCCTACAGGGCCTATTGCAAGCCCCTGCCGCTCTCGCCTGGGGGCTCCTCACTCCCCCTGCACACTGGCAAGGCACAAGTACCAGCGGGGAAAGGCCTCGGCCAAGGCGGGCAGGGAGCTTCGCCCCTTGGGAGAGAGAACCCTGAGGTGTGTTCCTTGTCTCCCAGGGCCCCCCCAGTCAGAGTGATTTGCCCGCAGGAGTAGCCTGCTCATCTTGTATGGACTTACTTTCCTCCTGGCTTCACTTCCCTATCCCTCTACCAGTCTGTCCTGTAACCGTGTCCCAAATCAACTACTTACCCGCCAATCCTTGCCTCAAAGTCAGCTTCGGGGAAACCCCAGCTAAGACAGGCTTTGGGTGGTCAGCCTGGGAGGCTACACAGGGGATGGAGGCCCCCCGTCAGTTACTGAGTGTGGTCTCCCTTTGTCCTCACAGGGTCTCGGACAAGCTGAAGCAGATCCCCCAGTCCCTGGCAGATGCCAACAGCACGGACCCAGCCCTGGTCTTGGCCGAGAACGCATCCCTCTTGTCCCTGAGCGAGCTGGATTCAGCCTTCACGCAGCTGCAGAGCCGCCTGCGAAACTTCAGTCTGCAGCTGGGCTTGCAGCCAGCGGAGGAGGAGGCCAAGGGGGGGGAGGAGGAGGCGGCGGCGGAGGAGGAACAGGGGGAGCAGCCACCGGGCCCTGCCGAGGCCCGCCGCCGGCGCCACGTGCTCCTCATGGCCACCACCCGCACCGGCTCCTCTTTCGTGGGTGAGTTCTTCAACCAGCAGGGCAACATCTTCTACCTCTTCGAGCCGCTGTGGCACATCGAGCGCACGGTGTCCTTCGAGCCGGGAGGCGCCAGCGCGGCGGGCTCGGCCCTGGTCTACCGGGACGTGCTCCAGCAGCTCTTCCTGTGCGACCTGTACGTGCTGGAGCACTTCATCAGCCCGCTGCCCGAGGACCACCTGACGCACGGCATGTTCCGCCGCGGCTCCAGCCGCTCCCTGTGCGAGGACCCGGTGTGCACGCCCTTCGTCAAGAAGGTCTTCGAGAAGTACCACTGCAAGAACCGCCGCTGCGGGCCCCTCAACGTGACGCTGGCCGCCGAGGCCTGCCGCCGCAAGGAGCACATGGCGCTCAAGGCCGTGCGCATCCGCCAGCTGGAGTTCCTGCAGCCGCTGGCCGAGGACCCGCGCCTGGACCTGCGCGTCATCCAGCTGGTGCGCGACCCCCGCGCCGTGCTGGCCTCGCGCATGGTGGCCTTCGCGGGCAAGTACGAGACCTGGAAGAAGTGGCTGGCCGAGGGGCAGGACCGGCTGCGCGAGGAGGAGGTGCAGCGGCTGCGGGGCAACTGCGAGAGCATCCGCGTGTCGGCGGAGCTGGGCCTGCGGCAGCCCGCCTGGCTGCGCGGCCGCTACATGCTCGTGCGCTACGAGGACGTGGCCCGCCGGCCGCTGCAGAAGGCGCGCGACATGTACCGCTTCGCGGGCATCCCGCTCACCCCGCAGGTGGAGGACTGGATCCAGAAGAACACGCAGGCGCCCCGCGACAGCAGCGGCATCTACTCCACGCAGAAGAACTCCTCGGAGCAGTTCGAGAAGTGGCGCTTCAGCATGCCCTTCAAGCTGGCGCAGGTGGTGCAGGACGCCTGCGGCCCCGCCATGCGCCTCTTCGGCTACAAGCTGGCGCGGGACGCCGCCTCGCTCACCAACCGCTCGGTCAGCCTGCTGGAGGAGCGCGGCACCTTCTGGGTCACGTAGGGGGCCTGGGGCCTCCGCACCCTCCTCGTGAAAGTCCCGCCCTGCCTTCCTCGACCGACCTGCCTGCCGGAGCCGGAGCCGGAGCCGGAGCCGGGCGCTCGCTCGCAGAGGCTGGCGGGAGGCTGCGCAGGGGGCAGGCCGGCTCTGCTGTAGAAGCAGCTCCCAGCGGCCAGCTTCCCCAGCGGCTGTGGGCTGGGGCTGGGGCTGCTGCCGAGAACAGGACGGTGCCCTGCCCCCGTGCTGGTCATCAACCCAGACCTGAGGGGCAGGCTCTCGCCTATTGACAGTCTCTCTCTCTCTCTCTCTCTCTCTCTCTCTCTCTCTCTTACACTCATTCACACAGAAACATACATGAAGCACACGTGAATGCCTGTAGACCCTGGGGGCCAGACCACAGCCCCACAGTCTGGATTCCTACAATCCAGCGTGGATTCTGGGTGGTCCCCCGGGAGGGACAGCCCAGGGGTTAGAGGATGGCAGCTGAGGCTTCCCCATTCAGTGTTTCCATAAATGGGCCACCTGTGCCGGTTAAGGATGGAGTCAGCTCTGTGACGAGCTACAACACGCGTATAAAGACGAATGCCCGCAGGCACAGGGCACAGCACACACTGGGAAACAGAAAATTCTGCACACACACATGAAAACAAACGGACAAGCTTTCCCTTTGCTCTATGCCCACAGGCTTGGTAGGGCTCATCTGCATAACACACCTGTTTGGGAGCTGGGGAAGGAAACGTGGTCATGGCCGTGACCTTGTTTCCCGACTGGGTTTGGGATGAACAGGACAACAGCAGTGCCGAGTCTGCGGCCCCTGCTGGCCCCTGCTCCCCTTGGAGTCTCGGGGCTACCGCTTCTGGCCCATTCACGTCCTTGCTGCTGGCAGGCAGGACGTTTTGAAATGGCGTGGTCGACCCTCATGTGACTGCAGCCCAATGTTCCCATCCCTTCCCATCCCAGCTCTGCTCATGTCCTGGAGCATGTCGGTGTTTGAAGGCTGCCTCAGGCCTGACTGGCAGAAGCAGCTGGGGTCCCGGGGAGCAAAAGGAACTCATGGGTCCTGCCCGCTCCAGCCAGGCCTCTGGGGGGCAGGGCCCAGGGACAATGCAGAGTGCTCTCGTAGGAGAAGTCACATCAGGATAGCCCCTCCTGAGAAGACAGGGGACAGCGGTCAGCGGTCAGCCTCCTGCTGGTCGCCATGGTTGCATGGCTGGTGTCTGAAATTCCTCCTTTAGGGTTCTGGGAAGAGTGTTGCTTAACAGGATGGACCGGGTATTTGTTTTCTGTTGTGTGTATGTGTGTGTGTGTGTTGTTTTTAAGATATTTATGGTTTGGTGTCTTGTTTTGTGGACAGGCTGTGTTTTTGTTTCTGCAGAAGTGCCTCTTGGAAGCGGTCTGTGCTTGAGGGGCTGAAGGGACTCTGGGAGGACCAGTGGGAAGCACTCTGGTGCTTGCTGGAGGGAGAGGAGGAGGAGGAAGAGCCTCCTCCAAGGATCAGAGCTTAGGTGGTCACGGGACGACCCAGAGTGCCCTTTGGGCTTTTCTGCTTGGACTCACGTGAAACGAATCTCAGAAAACACCAGCATTCTTCGCTGCGTGTCCAGAAGCAGCATAAATTAGCAGCCCTCAGCCCAGGCCCAATCACACTCCTGGGGGGGGGGGGGCGGCGGGCCCTATGGCCAAGCAGCAAATGTCCCCAAAATAGACACCTTCCCCCATTCCCACCCCAACCCGGGAGCCAAGCTCAGCGCCATCTAAGAACATGCAGGAAGCTGTGACCTCACTAAGGGCTGTTTCTGATTTCCTGGACAACCTCTATCCAACCCATCCCATTGTCAAGCCCAGAGGGATGAGTTTTCCTCGAGTAATAGGGACATGAGGGAAAGACAGGATCTGCGTCCAGCTGGGGCTGCTGTGGGGAAGGGAGGGGTGTGTCCTGCTGGAAACTGCCATTTGAAAAGGCGAGGATGGTAGCCATCTTATGGGGTCCCTTATAACCACCGGATCTGAGCTGCTGGGCACGCATCACCAGGGACTTCTGCCACTCGAGGAGGTCTCCACTCTAGGCTTTCCAGTCCAAGGATAAGTCATGCAGGGATCTGGCTCTAATTTGGGGTCCAAAAGCGACTCCAGCTCTGAAAACTTGACCCTGGGACAGAGTGGGGCCAGGACTTTTCTGGCAGGCCCAGAAGCGCTGGTGGTGCTTCCCCAGCCCCTGTCCTGCCCCCCACACTGTTCCCCACCTGGGAGTGGTGGGGGAAGGCTCCTCTCTCCAGGGTCCTTCCTGGGCCCTCCTAGTGTGGACAGCAGACTTCTCCCTCCTTCTTATGTCCGGGGCCAAGGCCCCCACCCCTAAGCTCTGAGGACTGTGCCGAGAGTGGACCTTTGGGACGTCTCAGGACATTGACAATTTGTACACAGCACGTTGACTTAACTTATTTATTTTGTGAAAAAGAAGTGACAGAAAATACCTTCTTGTGTGCAGGGACTCAAAGCTGTACCCAAATCAAGAGAGACAAACTAGTAATAATAAGAACTATTCACTCATCCACACACAGGACAATCCAAGACGATTCAGAATGCAGGAGGCAACTACACCAAGGCCGCAGGAGTCAGGACAGCCCAGGCTTTTGTTTAAGGAGATTCCTTGGTTTCCTCTTGCAGATTTGAGGATGCGACAGTAAGGCCCTTTCTGCTGTACGACCTTTGCCCAGGTGCCTGGAACAGGACACAACTCCAGTCGGTGTTGCCTTGGGGCTCTGGGAACCCTGGGGGTTTGGGGAAGGACAGGGTGGGGTGACTGTTGCCTTTTCATCCGTGGGACCTGGTTGGGGTCACGTCCCTGGGGTTTTCAGCATGGAACTAGCGGGGGACGGTGGTCCAGCTGGGGGCAGTGCCCTCTTGTCCTGGTTTCTCTGCTGCTGCTGATCCACCAGGAGCCTTCGCTCCACAGCCCCCCTCCACCCCCTAGAGACAGAGGGAGCATTTGAGGCCTCACCTCCAGCCACCAGCTTCCTCAGAACAAGGGCCCATTCAGCAGCGAGCATTTACTCATTTTTTCTCCTTGAAGAAGATCTCTTTAGCCTGGCCTATATAAATAGTTCAGAACATTCCAGGCCTTGGTGAGACAGGGCAGTGTCTAACACCCGCAAGCCATCACCACCACTGCCCGTTCCTGGCTTCTCTGTGCCTGTTTGTAAGCCTTGGAGTGGAGGCAGGCACCGGGGAGCGGACGGTGGGGGCAGGAGTCCTGTGGCCCCAGCGAGAGGGAGAAGGGAGCCATGTGCAGCGCTGTCACACCCCCTGCAGGTTATTACCGAGCTAAGGTTGAGAGATGTGAGTAAATTCTACCCTTTGTCACTTTATGTGATACACACACTTGAAAATAAATAACGAAATGAACAGAAAAAGTATTTAATGAAGAGTTTACTCCCTGTCTGCCAGCGCCCTCAGCCAGAGGCTGGTCTAACGGGGCAGCCCCTGACCAAACCTCCAAGAACAGAAGACACCCACTCGGCCCATTACAGTGCATCTTTCTCTGCCTCCTCTGCCATCTGTCCGACCAGGGAACCGGTGCCAGCAGAATGTCGGGTCCCTGATCCAGAAGCTGCCTGCTTGGCCCAGACCGCAGACAGGAGATGCAAGCATCGGATGGTCCTAACCCTGAAGGTCTCGTCGGCCCTGGGTGACCCTCTCCCACACGAGGGTCTGTTTTAATGGGCCCTAGGGCCTGTCCCTTGGTAGGCCCTGGATGATGAAGGACAGGAGCAGAAGATTGGGTGGCTGTGTCCCCAAGGCAGTGCCCTCCCACTCCAGTCCCCACGGACTGAAAGAAGGGTAGGAGCCTGGTCAGGGAGAGCGAAGGGGAGAGAAGGGGAGGAGATAGATCTTTAGCGGCCAAGTGGTCTTGTCGATCTGCACAAACGGAGAGAAGGAGCCTCCACTGCAGTCCAGGGGCTCAGGTGGCTGAGTTGCTTGTGAGGATTCCTAGGATGTGGTCCAGCTGGACGGGAGGGAGGAGGCCCGAGGTGTCCTGAGTGCAGCCACATTGCCTCTCAGCGGTCGAGGCTTCAGGACTAGTCAAAACTCTTTACCTCAAAAGGACGAAGCACAATTGCCAACTTCAGTTTTCTTAAAAGCTTCGAGGTCCTTTGATCTTGTGTCCTTTGTCATTTGATGACTGTGCCCAGGGGACTAATCAGTTACGTGTTTCCATGGTGCCATCCGCGTGAGCCTCGCTCATAGTGTAGCTCAGGTATTTTGCTTGGAAAATGAAGTGACCCATGTACCCTGCTTCCTCTCACCCTGGGCTTGGCCTGGGCACCCCCTGAAGTCTCCGTCTCAGCTGTAAATTCTAGGCCAAGTCTGCACGGCTCCCCTGCTCCCTCCCGGATCCTGCAAACTCTGCCTTTTTGACAAGACCTCTCCCTGTGTCATGTTTCGAGGCCACATGGTCCAGGACACTCCCTTCATGGCCATGTGTGGCCATGGTGTGTACATAGGTGTCCACATGTTTGTGTGTGTGTAACATGCAGCTCATTCTGCTCGGCCACATTGCTCCCTGCCCCCTTGCCACCGGTGTCCTTGCCGTGGCTACACACAATCTGCCGTCTCCTGGAAACACAGGAGCCGCCCTTCAGAGCTGGCAGCCAGCGCCGGTCGGGGTCTGCTTTGTGGAAGAGAATGTGAACCCATCACTAGATGGCTTACTTGATTTATTTAATTAAAAATGAAAACATGCAACGAGTAAAATTCCAAGAGTCTCTGCCTTTCTTTTGCATTTGTTCTCAGCAGCAGTCAAAAAAATTAACAGGAAAAAAATGGGCAGCTGTAGGAATGGGGTGACTTCGGGCATGAAGCAGGGCAGAGGAAACCCCGCCCCCTCCTGAGAAGTGAAGGACAGGGAAGTGTGGCTGAGGGCAGGGGGCACGAGGAAGGTCCTGCATGTCACAAGGACGGCAGAGCCGGGGGTGGCTGTGCTCACAGCTGGCTGCAGGCGTGAGGTCTGAGAGGTAGATTCCCAGGCATCCTGGGGCAGGGGCAGGGGCATTGGCCAGAGGTCAGGGGACTTGGGGACATGTCCCAGCTTTGCCACTATCTGGCCCCGTGTCCTTGGGCAAGTAACTTTCCTTATCTGAGCCCCAGTTTCCTTTAGAATGAGGGTGCCGTCTGTGGTTTACAACCCTTGTTCCAAAAAGCCCTTTTAGAGATGAGAAAATCAGCCCTCTCGCCCAGAACAACTGTGTCGATTGGCTGGCACCTGAGATTTCATTTGGCTAAAAACCCCATCAGGAGATTTCTAAGGCTCTTTCTCACTAAGAAAGTGTAACGGAATCCTTTCAGATGGCAATTGCACTGCTCTAGCAGTCATAACAGTTTTAGTGCGAATTAGATTCCCGCCCTTTGGTCTCCGCCCAGCCACTGGAGGGAACGGACTGTCCGCAGGGAGAAGGCTCATTCTGGAACACGGAAGGCAGAGCTGGTGGGCCCTGTGGGTTGGGGGCCTGGGCAAGCAGGGCAGCAGCAACATGAAGGGACAGAAGGGCTGAGCCCTGGGGACAGTAGTACCTAGAGGAGGGGTGATGACAGGGGAAGGCATGATGTAAGGGAAGGGGACCCTTTCCCAAACCTCAAGCCTGTGTCTGTGCCGTTTCGCCCAGGCCAGGCCTGGGAAACTCACACCAGCTTCCTCCCAGCCTTTAACATACAGGAGTCAGTGCAATGGCGTCCCGACCTGAGTGAAATCTCCACCCCCTGCCCAGACAGAGGGCACTGCTGTCTCCTATTTTCTGGGGACTGGGTATATTTAGCTTCTTTTCTGGGTTGTGTTTCCTACCACAAATGGCCCCTGGAGAAACGAATGGCCCTAATCATAGACAGAGCAGCCCAGACACCTCCCCACCCACTCACCCCTCAGCCACCAGCCCAGACCAAAAGCCATCTCTCCCCTCCCCCACTCCCAGACCACTTTGGGCTCCTGAATCTTCCTCCTCTGCACCCCCAGTTCCCCAACCCTGGGAAGGAGCTGAACACCCCACAGGGTCTCCTGGGAGTGACAGTCAGCTGGTCCCAAAGCAGGAAGCAGGGGTCTGGGACGCGTGCCACTTGCTCCTTGAGCCCTGCCAGGCAGGCCCAGCCCTGGAGTCTGCAGCACAGAATCTCCGAGTGTGTCTGGCAGAACCGTGGTCATCTGACCGCTCTTAGGAGGCTGCATGCACATTGGCACGGTCAAGGCTCTGAGAAATCCTGCTTCCCTGGGACCCAGCTTCTCAGGATTCACCAGAATCATTGTTATGAGTGGAATTCTTTTATCATAAAAACTTTTTTTTTTTGGCCAAAACATTTTCAAGACTCTGGAATCCTACAGAACAATTTGGAGCAGCCAGAAACCTGCAAGTATAAGCTTATACCACTAAAAGCCAGAATACACAGACAGGAAGGTGGTGGGTGAAGAGGCTGGGGAGAAAAAGTGCAGGGTTTCAGAGCCCATGCCACCTCAGGCCATTCTCACCGAGCTGCGGGCAGGAGCAGGAGGTGGCCTATGGGACTGTAGCAAACTCGGGGTCACTGTGGGAAGTTCATGACCCAAGGCATCCGTCTGCTCTCATAAACCTGCTGGTCCCTGAAACCCTGGGCCCTTGGCTTTCTCAATCACCCACACCTGCAGGGCCTCTGTGACATTCCGCTCGGAGAGGGGGGCCCTGGGGGTTCCGGGCCAGGCATAGACCCCACGGGGCACTATTGATCTGAGAAACTGAAGCTCGGGGCACCTCTTAGAGGAGACGTTTCTGAAACAGCTGGACAGAGGTTCCCCACAGTAAACAGCTTCCCTGGAGATGCAATCCTCTAGTCCAGCGGTTCTCAACCTGTGGGTCGCGACCCCTTTGGGGGTCAAACGACCCTTTCACAGGGGTCGCCTAAGACCATCGGAAAACACATATATAATTACATATTGTTTTTGTGATTAATCACTATGCTTTAATTATGTTCAATTTGTAACAATGAAAATACATCCTGCATATCAGATATTTACATTACAATTCATAACAGTAGCAACATTACAGTTATGAAGTAGCAACGAAAATAATTTAATGGTTGGGGGTCACCACAACATGAGGAACTGTATTAAAGGGTCGCGGCATTAGGAAGGTTGAGAACCACTGCTCTAGTCGCTAGTAAACCCCCTGCTAAACGCTGCTGTGCACTTTAGTGGGAGAACACGCAGCCAGTATAGGCTTCACAGGCAAGGCTTGCCCAGGAAATCAGCATGAGAGAAGGAAGGAAGGGAGAGAGGGGGGCGGGGGGCAGGGGGCAGGGAAAGTGACAGGAGGGGGCATTCTCATGAGACGCAGGGAAGGAAGGCAGCCAATTTGCTGAAAGCACCCACTGACCACAGCCACGCGGTCCAAGAACTTAGGGGACGTGCAGGGTCAGGCCTGGCCCAGGTGCACGCTCAGCCCCATGTGCCCTGTGGGTGTGTGGCCCACACAGTGTCTGGTTTTGTTTTTAACAATTGGCATTAGAGGCCACACTTAAAAATTAAGGGGTTTTATATAAAAACCAGATTTCTGCTTCCTCTGGAAAATCGGTGTCTTGGTTTGAGTTACACCAGAAGCTGATGCCGAGGCAGGGATGAGAGCAAACGGTTTATTTCAGAGCTGCAGACAGCCTGGGGGGGCGGGGGGAGTGGGGAAAGCCAGCAAGCCAGCAGCCCCCCGGGGAACCAGAGCAGAATCCCTCCCTAACGGTGTGAAGCCATGCCTTGCAGTTACCCAGGGGTGAGGCAAGGGAGCCAGAGTGGGGCTACACCAGTCCTGTCGGCCTTCGGCTGAGGGCTGCTCTCAGGGAGTAGTAATTCCTCGGCACCACGCCGTTGGCACAGCACCATTCCAGAAATCGGGAAAAGGTGCTGGGCCCCAGGATGAAATTGCAGGCAGCTGGATGTTTCCAGAGTAAGGTGTGAGGGATGGGAAGGGGTCTGACAGCAGCAGGTTCCTGGGAACAAGAGGTGATGGGTCACATGGGACCCCCGTGCCCACAGGCACAACGGGCTGCAGCTGGGAGGAGGGCAGGCCACCACGTGCCCTCTGGTCTGCCCTAGACTGAGGCAGCATTGATCACAGCACTTGGACTGAGGGTTTGCCTCTAAGAGACATCTGCTCTGTGAATCCTTGTCCGTCCAAAGTGAGAAACCAACAGGCCAAGAGGCCCACAGCTGAGCCTCCATTCATTACAATAGCGCCCCAGGCTCTCTAAGTGGTTGAGGTTCCAAGCTCCCCACCCCCACATCCCCACTCACCCATCCCCTGGCTGTCTCTGGCTGTGCCCATCTGGGTCTGTCCTGCCACTCCTACCCCGGGGCCGCTGCTGAATAAGCAGTGAGGAAGAGGACAGTGGTCGTGTCCACCTGGATGGTGGGCGGCCGGTCTGCATCCAGTCCATCCCAGAGCTGCCCGCCCTGGGGAGTTTTCAGCTCTTTTCTGCTCTGATGCGCATAGTGGGGGATGCTCACCTGTGGGCACACAGGTCGCTTGGGCATCCCCTTGATCAGTGTGGCAACCCCCAGAGCCTGAGGTCAAATGCTACCCTGGTCTCACCCACCCGGGAAAGCTCAACAGAGTGACCGAGGAGACATTGTGAGCGAAGGCCTGGAGGATGAAGGGGACTTGGAGAGTTTGGGGACCGAGAACCGATTTGTTCTGGCTGAGATGGAGATGAGACATGGGTCTGGGGAGGAGAGCTGGGGCCTGAATGTGCAGGAGCCTCTAAGACACTAAGCAGAGATTGGACTTGACCCTAAGAGCTCCAGGGCACCATTGAAAGACAGAGAGAAGCAGGGAGGCCTGGTCTGATCACTGATGCCCCATCTGACAGATGAGGAGAGTGCGGCGCGGAGAGCTGGCATGACCAGCAGTGTTAGGAGGTGAAGCCACATCCTTCATCCTTACAGACCTTCCGTCCCATCTTTTGCCTCAAGTCTCCAACTTGGGTCTGTTGAGACCCCACAGGCCATGTAAATGCAATAGAGGCACAAGCCCAGAACCAAAGGCTTCCTTCTGGGGTCATGCACAGACCCTCCCCTAAATGCCAGCTTTCCCAAGTCAGCCAGAGCCTGCTCTACTCCAGGCTTGAATAGCAGTGATGTGTCCTAGCTGTGTGACCTTGCACCAGTGAATTGCCCTCTCTGAGCCTTAGGACGCTCATGTGTAAGTAGGGGATAAGATCCATGAGGAGGACGGGCACGTATGCCGTGTGCCTGGCTCCTGGTGAGACCTGAATAAACAGCGGCTGCTCTTGAAGACAGTCAGAGGCCCTTCCCCCTGTGTTTGCCTCCTTCTGGGAGCCTCAGAATTAATCAGTGAATCAACAGCTATTTTGAAGGCTAGAGCAGAGACCCACACAGAGCTTATAATAGGCCCCGGGGCCACATAGAGTGGCCCTTCAGCACGTGGGGCGGTCAGGGTGGTGTCAGGCCAGGCACAGAGGGGCAGCCCTCGGTCCCCAGGCCACAGGCCAGCTCTGTTCCCTGCAGGACGAATCCTGAAAACCAGAACTGAGCACTAGAGACAGCCCCGTGATGCCCTCGGAACAGCTCTCCGAGTTTGGGAGGCTGAGTGGGGGCTAGGTTTCGCTTTCCTTTGGGAAGTTGTCATTAATTCCACGTCTGTGCTTTAACAATTCTTTCCTCCGACGCGGTGTTGGTTTCTTGAAGCAGTTTCCCTTCCAGGAAAAGTGCCCTCTGACTCCTGTCCGAGGGAGTGGAGAGACTGACACTTGAGAACCAAGAAGACCGGGGTTTAAGTCAATTCATTCAAAACATGGCCGGATGGGCAGTGCTTCCCCTCCCCGCCCTGGCCCGGGTGGGGTCTGGCTGGCCCAAAATAGAGAGGCGTGTCCGCACTTGGCCTGGAGCCCACGACTTCCTGACTCATGTCTCACTCGGCTGCGGAGCAGAGGAGCATGGTCCGGACTTGCCCGTGGAAGGAGGGTCCACGG